AGGAGCCGCTCCCCGTCGGGGCCCCGCGCGTCCCGGCCTGCAGGCCCGCGGGCCGACGTCTTTGCGAGTCGTCGGGACCTGCCCGCGGGCCCCGCGCTGGTGGAGGATGGCGAGCGGCGGCCGTTCAGTGACCCTCCAGACGAGGGCACCGGCTGTCCTGGAGGCGGCGGGCCGAGACCGAGGAGAAGCCGGGATGGAGCGGCTCAGGGTGCGGGAGCTGCTTCTAGACCAGGTTGTGGCCAAAGCCTGTGGTTTGGGGGCGGGTGGACGTGCCGGCCTCCCCCTCCTCTGCCTCTGGCCTGAGCAGCGCTGGGGCAGCCATTTGCTCTGACCAGCGGCGGAGAGGAGCTGGCAGAAGTTCCCTGTGCAGGGCACCGGGCTTAAGCCCAGCGGGTGGGAGGCAGAGGCCCCCGCAGCGTCTCCCCGTCGCCTGCTGCGATTTTACACATCCCGTGCTTCCAGCTCTGTGTCTCCACGCGCAGATTGTTTAGGCCTCAATGGCAGTTACGGGGTAAAGCCGAGAGTCGCTGGGTATTTGTCTTTTCCTTCCGGCCCACTCTGTAGGGCCCCGTGCGCTGCGATGACACCACCAGCCTTCAGCTGTCGTCCACCCTGTCAGGCATGGTTGACCCTTTCCCTGTAGCACCAGCTTCCCACAGCGTCCCCCTTGGGCAGGGCAGGGATGGTCTGGGTGGGAGGGGGTGAGGTAACCTGCCGGAGGTCCCTCCTAGTGAGTGACAGCGCCAGGGTTCAGGCCCAGCAGGTGGCCCCAGAGCCCCCGTACCCCACTGTCTACCCCCCAACCTAGCTGTCTGGCTCCCAGCTCTTGGCTTGTCAAGTTGCTGGAGTGAACTGCGCCGTCTATGCCCTGTGGATGCCCCTCTCCCTCACACTGGTCCTGTTGTGCGGTGCCATCCAGGGACTCCCATCCGCCCTGTGTGAAGGGGCCACAGAAGTCCAGGCAGGAACGGGCAGCCCAGGTACAAGCCGGAGGCTGAGTCTGTTGCCCGGGACTTGTAGGAAGCCTGTGGAAGGGCGAGGTCACTCAGGGTTTCCACTGAAGCTTCCTCATTGGTTTCGGCATTGACTGCCTCCAGGGGGGTCGCCGCCACTAGCCTGGCCCTCCTTTCCAGTGGCGCTGGTGGATTGGCACTTCTCGTTGTCACGTGGTTCCCTTTGGAGTGTCCTTAGTAGCTGTGGTGGAAAGAGCAACCCCAGGGGGTGTGCGCAGATCTCATGTCCTGGACTCAGTTTCTCTGCAACCCAGGGCTGGCTGATGTCCCCGGCAGGGACATGCTCGCTCGCCGCGTCCTTGGGCTGACCCGCCCCCTCCTTGTTGTTCTCCTGCAGGCGCTCACCTTCCCCGGGCTCAGCGGCGGGCTCCCGGGCCTAGGTGCCCATGACGCCTGTCCTGACTGCCGCCTGGACGCCGCCGCAGCGCCAATGCCGGTCATGCCCATCCCGCGGCGGGTGCGCTCCTTCCACGGCCCGCACACCACCTGCCTGCACGCGGCCTGCGGGCCGGCGCGCGCCTCCCGCCTGGCGCGCACCAAGTACAACAACTTCGACGTGTACGTCCGGGCGCGCTGGCTGTACGGCTTCATCCGCTTCCTGCTCTACTTTAGCTGCAGCCTCTTCACGGCGGCGCTCTGGGGCGCGCTGGCCGCCCTCTTCTGCCTGCAGTACCTGGGTGTGCGCGTCCTGCTGCGCTTCCAGCTCAAGCTGTCGGTGCTGCTGCTGCTGCTGGGCCGTCGGCGCGTGGACTTCCGCCTCCTGAATGAGCTGCTCATCTACGGCATCCACGTGACCATGCTGCTGGTCGGGGGCCTGGGCTGGTGCTTCATGGTCTTCGTGGACATGTGAGGGTGCCAGCGGCCTGGCCCTGGGCTGTGTTTACTGTGACCTGGGCCGGTCGATGCGTTTGCAGCCTCTTTTCTTGACGGGGTAGGTCCGGGCCCTGTCGTCTTGAGCCCGTCCCACAGGCGGGGTTGCAGGCACGGCTGGTCCCCGCCCCGGTCTCTGGCACAGGAGAGGAAAGAGCTGCGACTTCTGTGAAGGGGACCTGGCGCCCTCCCCCTGCTGCTTCTCTGCTCCGGCCCTCCCTGTGCGCACATTCAGGTGCAGCATCCTCCTGGCCGCCTGCCTGTGGTTCCAGCCTGCACTTTTCCAGGCTGTGCTGTGGGGTGGGGCCTGCCGGTCCATTCTGCACTTGGAGAGCCTCTGTGTCCCTGTCCCCTCTCCAGGACACTGGCGTCACCAGTGTTGTGGGAGACCCCTGGGAGGGGCGTGCTGCCCAGGAGCAGATCTGGAGGGGGTCCTCTTGGCCACACAGCCCCTTCTGTGCACCCCGGGCCCTGGTCCCAGCCTTAGGGCAGCATCAGTCTCCACTAGCTAACAGCGCACTGCCACAAGGCTGTCCACTCCGCCCAGGGCCGCCCAAGTTTGGGCACAGCCCGCGGACCCGCCTCCATCTCTCACCCTGAGAGGTGTTGGGGGTCCTGGTCCCAGGCCAGGCCTCAAGGTCACCTTGGTTTGCTTGGACATAGTCTCGCGAGGAGTCACCGGTGGTCTTGGCAGGTTCCTAGGTGAGGGTCCAGTCCACGGGATTGTCGGGCGTCGGGTCCAGGGCAGGTGGGTCTTCCTCCTGGGCAGATCTGTTGAGAACATCAAGCTGGATGCTGTAAACATCAAGCTGGATGCTGTAATCTCCTCAAATGTGGATTTCTGGGGAGGCAGCTCAGTTCTTTTCTGGCTCTGGGGGGCCTTTGGTCTCTTCCTTTGAGGGAATGCCCAGAACTGAGTCTTCTGTGTCTGGAACAGATGTCAGGGGTCTTCAGGAGGTGCACCAAGGCCTCTGAGTGTGCATCCCGGAAACGTGAGCAAACTCTGTTTAAAAAGCGCCTCTTAGAGCCCGGGGCGTGCCCTAGGGCTGGACCTCTGAGTGAGGGGCCTGGCGGCCAGGCTGCCCCTCTGCCTCTCTGCTCTTCTGCTCCTGCCTTGGCAGCTGTTAGAGCTGCTGGGGAGTGAAAAGCAAAAATGAATGTGGGTCAGGAAAGGACAGGGCCAGTGTGGGGGCTTCTGGTCACAGAGAGAAGACCACCACCAGGGGCCAGCGTTTTGCCTGGATCCCTGCTCTGGCCTCCATCCGAGGGGGACAGGGTGGCCGTGTGGCTTAGTGGCCACTGAGGGCCTCATTGGCAAGTGAGAAGGCACTCAGAATGATTATGCTGAGACAACAGTCAGGGCCCCATAGTGACGGTGACAGGTCAGCCGACGCCGCTTCACCCCAAGTAGTCTCCATACCCCCGGACATGGACAGTGGCCAGGGGGAGCTGTTTCGAGAGTTGTGTGCCATTGGAAGAAAAACCCAAATCAGGTAGAGAAAGCAAAAAACAATTGGCTATAAACCGTGCTCTTTGATTTGTAGCCAGCTTCTGACGACCGGCGACTTGAGGTGAGTGGGAAGGCTCCTTGACCGAAGTTATGAGTTGTCTGAGTTGCCCGGACGGCAGTCGAGGAGCTGGCCTGCGTGGACCCCACTTCACAGCGCTGCAGAGAATCTTTTGCACTAAATCATGCTGTTTCCTAAAACCTTTGTTTTGTGTTAATTAACTCACGTTCCTCAGATCCTCTGAAGCCCCCCTCACTGAGGTGGGTGCATGTCCACGTGGTCGGGATGGCAGGAGGGGTCTGGCCATGCCACCTTGAATGTAAACGGCAGTGCAAGGAGTTGACAAACTGAACGTGAAGCTGCTCGGTGTCTCGAGTGCCTGTTAAATTCTTTATGAAATGAGCCACCTGCATTAAACTTATTTTTTTAACATGTTGATTGAGTGATTGCTTAAAGCTCAAAAAGTTTATTTCTTTTTGTAAGGGTGTAACCCACCAAAGACACCACAGATACTGTTTCTCGCAAGTTAAAATAGGGTTTTAAAGCGGTCATCTGTGATGCTGGGGAAGGAACAGATGTGGGTGCTGGGGGGGCCCACCTTGACCTGGACGCCCCAGGTTCCACCAGGGGAGCCTGTCCCCAGGATTTGGCCAGATGGCAGTGAGAATGGGTCAGCGCTGGCTGACACGAGCTGAGGTGGCTGATTTCAACCAACAGACAAGCGTGTCGAGTCCTAATAAGATGACAAGATGCCCTCACACTGGTGAAGGCAGATACGATTCGGACCCGTATGTCCAGTCTGTGCTTGATTTCGGGAGATGGTACACGTGCCCTGGGGGAAAAAAACAGCAGGAGACCAAAGTTCTGGTTTAACCAAAAGCAGTTTGAAAAAGGAGACACACGTTATTACGGAGTGTGTCTGTTCTGCAAGCAGCCACGATGGGCAGAAAGCGCCGTTGAAGGGAAACGGGCTCCGTTCCGGAGCTGCCTGTCTGCCAGTTCTGGAGCTTGGTGGAACCCGATGTTTCGGAGGAGAACAATCGAGTCATCTTGGGGTTGAGCTCTGGATGGCAGAGTTGGCACAATCCTCACAAAAGCCTTCGTCCCTGAGAAGCTGCAGGGGAGCCTCAGGAAGTGGGGGTGTTGGACAGATGGGCTGAGGCTAGGGCACTTCATCCCTGGACCTGGGGTGGCCCGAGGACTCCTTCCCCACAGACTCCAGGGGGAACCCAGATCCGGCCCCTCGAGTGAACCTGCCGGGGTAGCTCGGCCGCACTGGCTCCGTGGGGAGGGGGGTGGTGACCCCGCCTGAGCCTCGGGGACGCCCACCTTCCCCAAGGGGCTCCCACAGGCCTGCCCACCCGTCTTCCCTTGTAAGTGGGCCGGAGTGTCCCCTCAGTGGTCTCTGTCTAGACCAGCGCTCTCCACCAGAACATCCTGCGCAGTCCAGTGCGGGAGCTGCGGCCCCCAGCGCCCCAAGAACAGGAACGTGGGCTGTTGTGGCCCAAGTCTGGTCGGACTCAGCCACGTGTGGCTCGCAGTCACCTTGCTGGACAGTGGATGCGCAGGCTAAGTGACAGCAGTGTTGGGTGTGCTGCAAGCCGCAGGGCTGAGGTGCTGTCGGGTGGGGTTTCCTGCCGGCCTCCCGTCCTCTGGGCTGTTAACCCGATGTCCCCAGGTGATAGTCACCATCAAAGACGACACGCAGACTGGGCCAGCGGCCACCAGAAGGCAGGGGCTGCTTGGGGTTTGCGGGCAGAGCCTCAGTCCGCCTAGTTGGTGCTCCAGTTCCCAGTTACGGTGCCTCCTGGAGAGGGTCTCTGGGGCCATCTGCAGCAGCACCGTTGAGCTGTGCCTCTGCCGGGAGGGGAGATGTGAGTGTTCTGCTGAAGTGCCTTATTCAGAGCAGATTCATTTGCTCATTGTGGGCTCCAGGTTTCCCGGAAAAAATGGGAACGGCCTGCAGGCTCCCAGGGGCTGTGAGGAGTCCTCTGCTGCCCCGCCACCCTCCAAATGGCCCAAGCTGCCCGCAGGGTAGAGAAGTGACTAGACCCGAGCGACCTGGGAGCGGGTGAGGAGGGCCACCTGCTGCCCGGGCAGAGCAGGACATGAAGGTTGGTGAAGATGGGGGCCGACGGCCCGGCGAGTGCAATTGGAAGAGGAAGGAGAGTGCCCAGAAGGTTCTGCAGCTGGTAGTGCTGCCCCACGGTGACGGTTATGGGCGGGGGTGGCAGTGGGCCGTTGGTTTGGGAGTCGGGCTGGGTGGGTAGGCCTGGGCCAAACTCTGAGCAGTGACCAGAGAGAAGGCAGCCGGCCAAGGGCGGTGGAGCAGCGCCTGAGGGAGAGCTGGGTGGGGCCGGGCCCAGGCCGCAGCCGTCAGCAGGCGGGCATGGGAGCCTTGGAGGGGCACCGGGGGGCAGGGGGCCATCCCTGGGCAGGAGGAGAGGAGGTGGGCCGGGACAGACCGAGGGAGGGCGGGAGGAGGGGGAGCGCTTCCCTTGAGCAAAGAACAGAGGAGTCGGGGCTACCTAGGGCCAGGTGTTGGGGGTGCCTGTGGGAGAACAAGCCGACGCCGCCGTTCAGCAGCCACGCGCTGTGGTCAGGCTTGATTTCCAGCCTGTCTCTCTACCGAGCAGCCCCCAGGGCCAGCCCGGAGGGTGAGGGGCTGTCGGTGAGGAGGGGGCAACGGCAAGGAGAAGGGGGTGGTGCTTTGGGAATTTCTAGAAATCAGATGGTTATTTGAGAAAGTCTAGATGGTGTCCAGACACTGAGCAGGGGTGGACAAAGTGGCCTCGGAAGATGTCCTCTTTGTCCCTGCAGCCGCTCTGGCAGCGATCACGCCCCCAGGGGCAGTCAGACCCCTGTGTCCCTCCACCTCACTTCCCCCCTGGGTGGTGGCAGCCGGCTGGGAGGGACACAGTCCCTACCCCTGAGGATGCTGGGGCAGGCGCCCCCAGCTCTGGACCAGAGCGTGACCCCCAGTGCTGCTGCAGAAGACGGGGCCGTCCACTGGGGCTCGCCTGCTCGGATATTGATGTTCCCTGACCTTGAGCGGTCCCTGTCCCTCCCGGCGTGATTGGATGAGGGAGCCAGTGGATGGCCGGGGCTTGGTGCTGATTCAGCGCTTTCTGGGGAGGGAACGTGCTTCCTTCCCTCCGCAGAGGCCAGTGCGGTTCTGTCTCTCCCTTTTTGGTGTTGTTTGGACAGGGCCCTCCCTGCACTCACCCCTCCAGGAAGGCCCTTCCTCTCATCCCCTAGGAGGCCCAGCCCTCTGCTCGGCACCCAGCTCTGTGCAGGAGCCACTTTCCAGAAAATCCCCAGCAGTCTGGCACGCCTCCCTGACAGCTCCCAAAAGAGGGAGCGCCCCCGCCTCACCAGCATCCTTGCCTGGGAGGGGACAGGGACATACGGGTGCCGCTGATTCAGCGGCTCGTGGGCCGCGCCCCTCCCCCAGCCCCAGCCGGGCAGCATGCCCAGGCCCGCTGGCAGCTGTGTCCCACGGGGCCTCTGGCAGAGTGGCTGTGGCTCTCGGTGTGTGGCCCGCACTGCGCCTGGGGGGCTGGCAGACTGATGGTGGGGGAGGGCCTGTGGCGGGCAGGCTGCCATTGCCCCCCCATGCAGTGGCATGGTGCTGCGGAAGAGGCCCCACAGGAGGGTGCATAGTGAGTGAGGCTACCGTGGGCCCCCAGGAAGGAAGCGTGTCCTGAGCCAAGAGATGGCAGATACACCACCCCGGGCTACAGGCAGTCTCCCAGGAGCCCAGGTCTCGGGCAGGGTTCCTCCACCTCCGGCTGATCCAACCATGGTCAACTGCCCCCCAGACCCAGGCTGGAGGCTGACCCGGAGCCCTGGGGCAAGGACGGGCTACACTGCCGGCCCATCCTTGGCTCGAGACTAGCCCCGGCCAGAGGAGGGTAGGACAGGAGCCAGAACTCCCAGCGTGGGTTTGATTTGCTTCTAACTGTGCTGGGATGCCCAGAATGACAGGCGGTCTGGGCGGACACCGGGGGCAGGCCCCAGCACAGGGCAGGAAGTTGCCAGCACTGTTTGCCATGTGGGTCCTGTAAACGGGCGTGAGTGGGAGATGCAGGGTCCTTCCTCAGTGTCCCCGTTACAGAGAGGGCCATGGGCGTGGGGCAACACCCAGGGAAGGGTGGGGAGCAGTGCAGGCCTGGAGCCTGGGGGAGTCTGGGAGGAGCCGGGGAGAAGCCCAGGAAGATGGGGGTCAGGAGGAGGCGCTCGGCAAGGTCACGGGGTGGTGAGTGGCCTGGAGCACGCCCCCCCACAGTGTTCATCTCCCTGGAGGTGGCAGTCCCGCCTCCCCCACCCGCCATGGCCAGGAGGAAAATGCTCGTGTTTGAACCGTCCACAGCCACGTTCCCGTTAGCCTCGTGTTGACCGCCATTCATTCCAGGAGGACGGCTGCTCCATTCGGCTTTCTTAGAATATTAATAACCAGTCCTGGCTGAAATGCTGCATGAATATTCACACAGAAATCAATCTGTCCAGGCTGGTGTGGTGTCGTGAGAGAGGAGCAGTGAGCAGCCAGGTGGCCCTCAGAGGAGGTGTGTCCCCTGTGCCTTGAGGGGCCAGGCCCCCGGACTGGCTGCTAGGAGTGACCTCACCTGGGAGCCCAGGAGGCCGGGGGGAGGCCAGAGGCCCTTCCCTTGCAGGTAGACCCAGAAGAGGTCGCTCTCCTTTTGCAGTGGACCTCAAGTCACCTCCTCAGAGAGGCAGCGAGCAGTGACCTTCCTGCCCTCACTGGGGTCAGGAGACAGGGACACAGATGGTCCAGGACCCAGGGCCAGGCACAGCCAGATGTGCTGGGCAGCCAAGACTGGTCCTCCTGGGGAGCCCCCATGCACAGCCTGGGCCCATCCCTGACCCCCACTCACCCACTGGTAGGAATGTCTCTGCCCACTCTGACCACCAGCTGCTCTCGAGAAGGGATTCATGTGCCCAGAGAGCGTAGATTCCCAGTTCTTCCCAGCGAGCACTAGCAGGCGTGGGT